GCCGGGGAGCAGGTCCCCTGAGGCTGTAGGGAGGCGTCCAGCCGTCCATGAGATGCTGTTTCTGAAAATATGTGTGTGTATCTCAAAGCTGAATCTCACCAAGCCTAGATTTAATGACCAGCCTGTGGGAAGTACCGGGATGCAGGAAGATGTAGACCGTCCTTGCAGTGAGCCAGATCTAGCGTTTGGGTCATTCCGTGGGGCAGACGCCTCAGTTTATTCCTCGAAAGGCAAGAGGGAAAAATGAAGGGACCATAGATTTAAAGGGACCTATTAACCACATGGAATGTGCGGAGCCCTGATACAGGGCGTGATTTGAATAACTCTGAAAAGATGTTTATGGGCCAATTGGAGAGCTTTGAATTCTGCCGAAACATGAGGGAAAGTTGCTGTCATTACGGTTCTTAGTGCTTAAATGTTTCATTCTGAGATAATTTGAGAAGTGCATGCTGTTGTAAGAAGAGTTAGACCTCAGGTCCCCTGTGCCCCGTTTTTCCCAGTGGAGCTGGTGACATCTTGCAGCACTGGGGCGCACGTCACAGCAGGGCAGTGGCAGAGTGCTGTCGGGGGCCAGCCAGCCCTGCCGCTGCCTTTTGGAGGCGTGTTACTGAAGCGGATCGCACACTGTGTCACTTTGCAGACTGGCTTTTTTCCCCTCGGCACGATTTGCTGGAAATTTGTCCAAGTTTTTGTGTATATCAAGTTATTCAGTTTTGTTGCTGAGTAGTATTTGTTGTTACATGAAGAAGTAATTTTTCAGTATGTATGTATACATATATACATCTGTGTGTATGTGCATATATATAAACCAAATGATTACATTGTACATATTCCTTAAATTTATATGTCATTTAGCCCTGGCTGGTGTAGCTCAGTGGATTGAGCTCAGGCTGTGAATCAAAAGGTGGCTGGTTCGAGTCCCAGTCTGGGCACATGCCTGGGTTGTGGGCCAGGTCCCCAGTGGGGGCCACATGAGAGGCAATCACACATTGATGTTTCTCTCCCTTTCTCCCTCCCTTCCCCTCCTCTCTAAAAATAAATGAATTAATGAAATAACTTTAAAAAATTCATATGTCATTTATATCTCAATAAAGCTGGAAAAACAAAACTCCATCGTAAAGGAGGAAGAAAATCAGTACAATACGATGTCAGGTGTAAAATATTTTATTTCATGGTGGAAAATAGGAGCCCTTCCCTCTCAGAGACACTATGGGATTTTCAGACGAAATGTCTGGGATTTACTTTAAAATAATCGGGGGGGGGGGGTTACAGATGAATCTTGATCTCTGTATGTTAGTGATTTTTAAACATAGTTGATGAGAACATGGGATTCAACCTACTATTCTACTTTTTGTGTTTTGGGCATTTTCCATTATAAATAAAAGTAAAAAATACAGCAGCATGAGCCCCTTCCCGAAAGAGACGGAGCTACCTACAAAACTGAAAAGGGAACCACTCAGTGAACAGCAAGGGTGGTGAAGTACATGCTTTTCATCATAAGCTTTCCTGTACAATTTGATTTATTACCATGTATATAAATCTTAATTGTGCAAATGAAAAATAAGCATTTGCTTCTGTTGCATAACCTCCTTCACTGTGTAAGGAGAGAGAGCGGTGACTCTGGAGGAAATGGAGTCACTTCAGGGGCGACCCCTTCACTTGCCCTTTGCTCCAAGTCGTGCTCTAACCTAACCATTTCTAGATTGCATGGCTTCCCTGCATTTCCAGTCACTGGTGGCTGCTTTTGCTGACTACAGTATAGCAAGGCCTTTGTATTGGCTTAGATTCAAATGCTGTTAGAGTTCTGGCCTTTGAAGATGAAGCCTTCTCGTGGATAATAACAGATGTGTTTTCACGGTGGACCACGGGTGCCTCGGTCTTTTCTTTCTGGGTGGTTCACCTATGTCGACCCGTGACCATAAAAATAAAAGTATTCATCTTTCACCATGTTTAGCAAATGTTATGAAGTTTAATTAATTGTGCTTTTTCTTTCATACTCATTCACATACTCCTTCATTCATGTTTGTTGAGAAGCCATTGTGTGCGAGGTGCTGGAGACTTTAAATCAACAAAGATTCTCAAAATCTGGCTAGAGAGGGATTATTCCCTACATATGAATCAAACTATTCTAGAGGTTATAAGACTGACTGTAGTACATTAACCAGCCTTGTAGGGTCTGCGTCACACAGCAATGCCAGGAGCACAGTTTTTGATGTTACAAATATTTCCTCCATAGTAGGGAAGGAATTTAAAAGAGTGTGAATAGCTAACACTTGGGTCAAGCCCTGTTTTCTTTCTCTTTTTTTAAACATTTTTTTCATTGTTCAGGTACAGTTTTCTGCCTTCCCCGCCCCCCCCACTACCCCAGCCCTCCCTACCTCCCTCCCTGTTTCCACCCCCACCCTGGTTACTGTCCATGTGTCCTTTGTGATTCACCGTTTCACCTAAAGTAACTTATTAAATATTAAATACCGGTGCTATTGTGATTTCCATTTTGCGTAAGAGCTGGGAGTGAGGCACAAGGAGTTGAGGTAATGTGCCTAAGGTTATAAAGCAGTTAAGGGACGGAGTCAGGATTTGAACAGGAGTCTTTTAGCACCAGAAGCCGAGTACATTTGCAACTAATCTGTGGAGCCAAGTTAAGGTTTTCTCTCGTCATCTACCTCCATCGGCCGAACTATCATTTCCCCAGCTGTTTCATGGAAGTCAACAGAAATTCCATGAAAAAAAAAAGTTCATGGTAAAATATTTAACCCAGCATTTTCCTAATGTATATAGAGATTATACTGAGAACTTCTCAGAAAACGTAATGTTAAATGTATATAGTAAATCACCAGGAGGAACATTTATCTTACACTGGCCATTACAAAATTGTTTTTCCATGCAATGTTTTGTTTTGTTTTTATAGGGTATCTGTAGACATTTCAAGGAACATACCATTCTGGGCCACTAATGCATGGGGGCGACTTTTCCCACAAGTCCCCTCGTCCGCCATGGATGAAAGTAAACACTACCAAGACATGATCTGCTTGGGGAGGAGAGGTGGCCAATCCCTCAAAGGGGAAGGGCCTTGAGCCCCTTCCTCTAGGGGCTTTTATTGGGTTGTAATACACAGGAATACAGGGCCGCAAGTAGATAACATTTCAAAGAAATCTGAGGGCTTAGTCTGAGTGCCTTTCAGGAAGGGAGTTTTGCAGAAACTTTAGGGTTTCCTGCTTGTACCCTTAACATATGAATGAAAACACTCTTAGCAGAGCAGGTTTCACAGGTTTATCAGCAAGTCTTTGTGATGCCAGATTTCTCCCCAGAACCGTTCTAGCAAGGGAAGGAGCTGCACCCCTCCCCATCAGTTATTTAGGCTTAAGTGGATTAGAGCCAGGAAGCACTTCTCCCAGAGGACATGGGGACTCGGGCTATGTCACATAGCCGGGGCGGGGAGGGGGGGGGAAGGGTTCATTGCTTGCTTTTTGTTGCAGCCCCCCGAGCCCTTCCATGACGGCCTCCCCAGTGATTGAGTCTGGCTTGGGTTGCCCCTCGCTGCGAGGGAGACTTATGCCTCATGGACTTCTGACCATGCTTTGGGGGCAGGGAGGAAACGGAGGCAGCATTCATTACCAGAGACAAGTTTTGTCTTTTGTGGCTCGTATTCCGGAGGTCACTCGCTCATCCTTAGTCATGGGAGGTAGTTACAATTCCTGAAACCAGGCAGAGCGGTCCCCAAAACTAATGCACTATGAAAATTACTCTTTCACATCACTTGTTTCTGTGTTATTGCCAAATGACTTCCTGAATGTGATGTCAAATGTTGTCACTCCCTGGGTCCCCGTTCAGTGAGCTCTTACTAAGTGCAGACAGGGCCCTGCTTGCATTGTTAGCTTCTTCTGCTCCTACACATGGGCTCAGAGTGCCATTCTTGTCTTTTTGGAGGGCGGTCCTGTACCACTCCCATCCTCAGCCAGAGCAGTCCTTGCCTGTTCCAGGTTTAATTAGCCATCACATTTTCCATAAAGCCTGCCTCGAACACCTCCCAAAGGCCAGGCACATATCTTCTCGAATCTACAGTCCCTTGTGGTCTGCACGTAGTACCGTCACAGTTACCGGTAGACTGCGAGCTCCCTAAAGACCACGTCCAGTGTGTTTGTGTCTCACGCCTGGCCAGTCATCCCCTGCCCAGGCAGTGACCCCGTGAATGTTTGCATGCGTGCCATTTCCTGAGAAGCTTTGTTACAGACGCGGTCCTTGTGTTGCCCTGCAGTCTGGGCTCTCCAGCATCATCACACTGAGTGTATTTCTTTTTGCTCATGATCTGTTCAGTACAGTGTTTGAGTTTCCCTCTTTTCCATATAAAACTTTTGCTTAACATAGAAACATTAGTTCCTGGTTACTGAAGTGGCTGTCAGAACTAGATATAATACTGCATTTCAGATATGATCAAAGCAGTTTCTCGTTTTTATAGAAATCTGCATGTTTTCTATCCATTATTACCAACCTTTGCCCCTCATCGTCTACCTGTGCTTGTTAAAAATCCATTTTATTTTGACCTATTCGTTTAAATCTTGATTAAATCTTATGTCATTTGAATCAGCTTGCTAAGCTTTGCATTCTCTTCCATGTACATACCTGTTGTTTGTTCATCCATGGTCTCCCCTAACTTTTGGTAGGAACTCCTGGGTTGATCCCAAGGCATCCTAACTGTGTCTTAGTTACAGGTACCTCATGTCTTAAGTCTGTCCAGTCTCTCCACCTAATCCGTTTTTGGCTTATCCAGAGCTTATTTTGGCAAATGTAGAACATTTTGCTACCATTTTGGCAATTGAGTTCTGCTTTAAATTTCACTTGGCTTTGTGTAAGGTGCCTAGCCCTCAACCCCTGGCTCAGATTTCTGGAGTCTGAAATGACATAAATGGTCTTAAGTGTTTCTGTAGATATTAAATGGTCAAAATTGTAATATAGGGTGCTACATCTCTCCCGGTCACCGTATTTTTAATACATTTTCTCAGAGTTTAAAAAGTTCCCAGAAGAAGAAAGGAAGAAAAAAGAAGGGTGTTCAGAAGAACCTCTATGGGGAACGAGACATTGCGTCTAAGAAGCCGCTTCTGAGTCCGATCCCGGAGCTTCCCGAGGCCTCCGAGACGCCGCCTCCACTTCCAGGCGTCTGCAGGGCGCTGCCAGGTACCTGTCCCCGGGCCCTTGTTCACCCTCCGTTCTCTCCACCCTCTGTGTTCTTTCCCTCTCTTTCCCCTCTGTTCCCTGTTCACCATGTAAATTGTAAATAAATTAGAAACAGCGACTTTGCACATTAGTGTGCGAGCACAAAGGAAGCAGCAGTGTGACATTGGGGTAGTAGACCCTTCCCAGACTCTGGTGGGAGCTCAGACCCTTTCCTCAAAGATGCTCGGGCACGAGATACTGCATCTAATTTGGAGGGAAGTAATTTTCTTCGCCCTGTTTCATTTTCCTTTTTACAGCATTTGGTTAAAGTAAACTAAGTTCTGTTTGGTGTGTGGTTCATCACTGAAAGTGAGAGAGGTGGTGACTCAAATACTTGTCCCAGGCTTCAGTTGAGTTGGCTCTACTAAGCATAGTATAAAAAGTGACACCTGTGAGTTGCTCTTGGTTACCCTGCAAGCTTTGTTTAAAAGCAAAGATCAGCTCTGGCTGATGTAGCTCAGTGGATTGAGCGTGGGCCTTCGAACCAAACAACTGTGGTTCGATTCCCAGTCAGGGCACATGCCCGGGTTGCAGGCCAGTTCCCAGCAGGGGACCTATGAGAGGCAACCATACATTGATATTTCTCTCCTTCTCTCCTTCCCTTCCCCTCTAAAGATAAATAAATAAAATCTTAAAAAAATAAAAAATAAAAGCAAAAATCAGCAAAGTGATGTCCTACTTTGATAAACATTGGATAGGAGTTGCATCTGGTTTGTAATGCCTGGATTTTAAATTGACTAAATCATGCCACAGATGATGAGTGAGCGTTCATTTGGTGGGTCAGTTTGCTACAGAACTGTTTTCCAGATAGCTTCCTTTGTCAGTCACCCGGTATTTATAGCCTGCACTCCCTTTGCAGCGTACCATGAGGGGTTTACAACAGACTCCGGGGTGACGGCGGGGCATGCCACTGTACACCTTCGGCTCTGCCTGCCTCTGAGCTTCAGGAAAGCACAGGAGTTGCAACAGACCCAGGACCACCCTGCAGGCGCACACACGCTCCTCCAGCCCCTGCGTCTCATGCAGTTTCTCTGGGGCCAGGGAGTGGCCGGCCACCTCACTGCTTTTAGTCTGGCCTGATGCTGCTCTCCTAGAAGCCTCAGCCGTGCTGGCTGCCTCTCCAGGAAAACTGTTCTCACTGCACCTGCCCCACCTGGTGTATAGCCCACCTCCATTCCCTGCAAATTGCAGTCCTCTTGAGACTGGGGACTCTTATTTTGGTTATATCCCCAGTTCCTAATGAGTTTTTTCTGAAGATGTTCAATGTTAGGAAATATTTTCCATCTTTCATCTTATCAGAGAACTTGTTTTATGAAATACCTGAAGCATTTGAAGCATTTTTTAAAATCTATAACCAGCTGTAATAAGGGTTTAAAGTAGTTCTCACCCTCCCTTCCTTCTTTCCGTGTTCTACTCGCTCTCTCTCCCTCCTTCCCCCTCCCTCTCTCCCTGTCCCCCTCTCCCCTGCCAATTCCATTGCTGTACCCTACTTTCCTTCTTTAGCATGTTAATTTCATGAACAGTGCCTAAGTGTCCGTTTTTAAAGTCGTATAAAGGGCCCGTGTTAGTTGGGTGGCCCCGAGTGGAGCCTACGCGTTCATCTCCAGCTTCCCGTGACATGATTTTAATTACCCAAACCACAGACATAGACCTTTCAGATCCAAACCTTGTGTTTTAGATGTTTTGTTCAGCTTATGTTTATACCTCTGCCAGGTCTGATTTTGTTGAGAACATTTTATATACTCATTTGACTGGCCAATTTAAAGCTTCATTATCTGAGATAACAAGAGAGGCAATGTTGAATTGAATGCACTGAAAGGTAGACACATCAGCCTGCATTCATTTAGCCGGTGCCGTGTAACTTCAGAACCTTCATGATCTTTTCACCTGTGACGTCACACAGTGTGCCGAAAACACGTGGCAGGCTCCACATGGCATGAGTTCCCTGGAGGATGAATTTTAGTGAGCGATTGAGGCAGAAGGGAGGGAATTTTTAGAATACTGGAACAAATGTGGCTCTATTTGAGAATACTGTGCATTTGATATTATTTTTTAAAAGACTTTATTTTTCTTTAGAGGAAAAGGTAAGGAGAGAGGGAGAGAAATATCAATGTGTGGTTGCCTCTCATGCTTCCTCTGCTGGGAACTGGCCTGCAACCCAGGCATGTGCCCTGACTGGGAATCAAACTGTGATACTCTGGTTCGCAGGCCCGCGCTTAATCCACTGAGCTACAGCAGCCAGGGCTGTATTAATTTTTTAACACAAAGTGTAAGATCTAAAGTCTTCAGGGAGAACCGTTTTGGCAAAGTCCTTAAATCTCCCAGAATTCCAAGTTTTCTTTCCTCTACGTTTCAGAAGCACAATGTTGCCCATTTTCAGTGATTCATTTTTAAGGAAATGGGAAATGTAGCTGCCTCATGCTCATTGACCTTGTGGTGAGAGAACTATATTAGAATAGAGGAAGCAATTTCAGATACACTTCTCATTTTCCTGGTGTGTGGTTATGGGCTTTATTAATTCATACATTAACTACTTGTTCCCTTAGCCTGTGGGTTGGGAAGGAAGGACAAGAGAAAGAGCAGATGACAGATGGGGCAAGTACAATGGGATGTTTTGTGTGTATGGCTACTTTTTAATTAGATTCAAACTTATTTACATGCCCATAGATGATTTCAGCTCAAATGGTGAACTCGAAGAAAGGAAGCTTCCTGGAAGAAAGAATCTTTTCCCTCAGAACTCAGAAGAATTCAATAAGTACAATGTGTCTGAATTCTGCAGTTCTTACATAAAAAGTTCCTTGTCGCTTATTAATGCCACTTTTGATCAGAATTCAAGTATAAATACTATGGGAATCCATGCAAATAAAATTATTCCAAAAGCAGAAGTTAAGTTGGAAAGTGAAAATGACTTAAAAACTGCAACCAGGAATGAAAACAGCCATATTTCTTGTGCTTCTGTGACTGAAAAACCCATCGTGTCAGATGGTCCACAGTCCGATTTTATCAGGCAGCCCCAAGAGGGTTCTGCTGCTGGTCAAAATGTGGGAAATCTTCAGAGCTTTGAAATTTCAGGAGAAGGAAAGTGTGAACAAAAAGATGACTTCTTAGTAGGACCGGAAGGAAAACTGCAGACTGAGGATTTCACGTCTGGCTCACAAAAAGAATGTGATTATTCAGAAGATGTCTTAATTGACGAAAGAAAAAAGAAAAGTCAAATTGAGGATTTGGGAAGAAACTCCACGAAAAGCAGAAGGGATGTGAGTTGCGAAGGGAAATCACAAAGGCACTCTATGTGCTCTCTTGATGATCACCGTTTATCTTTGGGAGAAAAAGGAATGCACAAACCTTCCTACAGTGTGGGCAGCTCTGCAGAAATTAGTTTGGAAAATTCTGAACTGTGTAAAGATTTATCTGACTCCATAGAACAAACCTTTCAGAGAACAAATAGGGAGGCAAGAGTCCGACGTAGCACAAGGCTACAGAAAGACTTGGAAAGTGAAGGACTTGTATGGATTTCACTTCCAGTCCCTTCCGCTTCCTGCCCCTCCCAAAGAGCCAGAAGGAGAACCATGCATACATTAGACAGCAGAGGATTTGAAAGTGTGTCCCCTAGGAAAGAAACTGTGTCCTTCAGGCAAAAAATGGGGATACCCTGCTCCATATCAAATCAAGAAAACAGTGAGGGCTTTGCGGACACTTTTTCCCGTGTACCTGGGAAAAGGAGGAAGAGCTTTTGTACATCTGCACTTGCAGACACTGCAAACACGAAGCACAAATGCTATAAAAGAAGACCCTTCCCCAGCCAGAAGGGAGAAGGCTCTCCAGATGATGCCGGAAGAATGAACCGCGTCGGAGAACTGCAGCAATAGCTGACGAACGTGTGGCATGAGGGATGCTGACCACCCGGGCTGGAGAGATCCTGCCATCCTAGCTCCTGTTATTTGTTCAACTTCAGTGTTTAAACATTTCAAATAAAGTCATGTGAGTTGAACCTACTTTTAAGTAGACATAAGTGAATTTCTTTTCATTAAAAAATAAATGTATTAAATATGCCCTTCCCCCAGATGGTAAATGCTTTATTAATATTTTGCTAAAAAGGATTGTTTTTAGACCCAATAATGTGTCTTAAGTTCGTTTTATGTTAGTACATATTCACCACCAAAGGATTTGAACTGTTGAAAAAAATTATCTTTTAGAATTGGCGCATTACATCTAAATGAGAAGGTTTTGTTTTTTTAATTGACATAAGTAATGTAACTATGAAAGTGGATGTTAATACAAGGTGGAAAGCTGTTTTTAAAAATGTGTTTCTATTTAAAAAATACTGCAGAAAACTGGTTAAAAGTTTTAAAAATTAGAGTAGATGGAAATTGTAAAACTTGTTTTCTCTTTAAGCTAAAGTTAAGAGAAGCTTAATTAAATGACTTGCTATAGCTGTCTGAAATGAAAATTTTATTTCTTAGATTAAAATCAAAGCATGGAATTTTGGAAGTCTTTTCAATGATCGGAATATCGGGGGGCGGGTGAGGGGGCAAAATTAGTTTTAAAGTTGTTTGTGTATAAAATAATAAATAATAATACAAGAATAAGCTGTTTTGTGTACTTACAGCTATAAACCTACCTTTCCCTATATGATAAATGTGTCATTATAAAATGAAAATATAACTTAATGAATGTGATGAAAGCATTTTGTTCTTTAAACAAAATTCTTAAAAGTTTTGTGGGGTGAGAGGTGGATGATTGGTTTTTGGTGAAAATACAGCAGTTTAGTTGAAGACTAATTTCCCAGATTATTCAAATTATTCACAGGTAATTTGGGATTTATTTTATGGTTCTCCTTAAAAAATTGTTTTTAAGTCCAAAAAACTTTAAGTCCAAAATGAGCTGACTGACATGAAACGTGGTGGTAGGTTGCTGGTTTCCTTTTCAACAAGGTATTTTCCAGCTGCTTTAATTCTGACTTTTTTCTATAGTGTCAAGTATGTGCATACTATCTCTTGTCTTGGATTTTCCAGTTATGCCTCAGCCCTGTAGCAATATATCCTGCTTCCTATCACCATTTTGGTGATAGAAGTTTGAAAATCTAAATTGTTATATATCTGGCACTTGTGAATGTGCTTAAATCATGTATCATTAAACAGTTGTCTTTGGGATCCTTGAAATCATTAAACTCCCCCTCTGTGATAGCAGAAGCCTGTTAACAAATAGTGCTCTCTATAAACGACCCTCCAGGGGAGAGAGCTCCCGCCGGGCGCCCATTTCCCCTCCTCGGATAGAGACTATTTGTTACCTTCTTGGCACCAACAGGTCTGGGCCTCCTGCTGGCAAAGACTAATGTATTTTACATTAACACTCAAAGTGATCCCCAATTTCTTCTGCTAAAGGGTAGATTGTTTTAAAAATTCTTTTATCTTTACACGTAAATTTTTTATGGACTCCCCCCACCCTTTTATAGTTTAGTGTGGTTGAGAAATGTATACCACTGAAAACAAGCCACACACACAAAAAAGAACTAATTAAAACTTCTTACGAAGCTTTTTGGTTTTGGAATTAAAAAAAAAAAACTTTCAGAAATGTAAGATGTTAGGGGGCCTTGTTTTCTGTTAAGTTTTTGTATTCTTTGTTTAACACTCAAGTTAAAAAATGTTATTTTTTCCTTTTAATTTCTATGATCTTTAACCTCAATCTCATTTGTCTTTGAATTTTTATAATTTCAGATACTTTGTTTTATTCCTCAAAGCGCTGATGAGGAATAAACATTTTGGTGAGGGAAACATTTTGGTGTATGATTTTTTTTCACTTGACTTTTCAAATGTAAAATTGTTCTCATTTCTAGTATTTACAGATAAAAATACACAGACACTTTACCAGCTGTGTTGGTTTCAAAATGTTTCAGTGTGTATGTTTTGGTGTTATTTACTAAGAACAAACAGGCATTTTTCCTAAAAAGATTGGCTCTGAGAAATTAAAGCAATTTAGGCCCCGTTTTATCTGATTTGTCTCATTTGCATGATAAAAATTTGTGAAAAGTCGATGATTTCTGTATTTGACATCTGTGCTTCTTTTTAATAGTTTCTCTTCACTTGTGGTCCAGTGAAAAACTTGGCTCAAATTCGTTTTTTCTGGCTTTACCTTTTTACTGCTGTAACTGTTGACATTTGGCCTTAGAAACTCATCATCCTGCTGCTGTATTTCCTTGTTTGTCCAGGAGATGGCAGCCTGACATCTGGAGTTTTTTCTGCACCAGGTGCCAGAGAGCCAGGGCAGATCTTGCTGCCATGGGTACCTACCTCCCTTTCACTTTATGTTTACTCATTTTTATTACAAAAGTAATGCGGCTATTGAAAAAAGTAGAAAACTGTACACAATTAAAAACTGTCTTCTTGCACCCCGTGCCAGCCAGCATCCTCTAGCCACACCCTCCTCTCTGCAGCTTCCTTAAATGCAAACACTGTGAACAACCCCGGGCACAGCGTCCAGACCTCTGCCCGGGTGAACATGACTGTACGTCCTGTTGTTTTCTGATGGGATCTATAGGTGCTTCTTTGCAACTTGACTTTTTTATTCAACAAAATACCATGCATGTTCTTCAGTCTTAACAAGGGATCCCTAGTGCTCTTGTCTTTCAAACCTCTATTACCGAATTATGTGATTTTGCTATTTGTAATTTAGTCATTTCCTTCCTAATGCATATACTACTCGTCTTCATCTTTTTGTTATTGAAAATTAAGCGTCACTGGGCTTGTATGGAAATGTAAGATAAATTCCTTGAAATTAAAATGGTTATTAAGTTCTCTTTTATAAATCACACCCAGCAAAGTCCTTTTATAAAAGTTTTGGTGTCTTCGCCTCCTCTGTGTCTCTCGTATCTTCCTGCCACTTGGCCTCCATTTCCTCCTGCCCGCCCCCTCCCCCTGTGGACGCTGAAGCCGTAGCACTGAGGGTCAGGCTTGGATTTGGCCTGACAAGAAAACACGATGAATAATGCCTGATTCATGCTTTATATTGAGAGAGCTTTTTCTTTTTACATCAAGTTTATTGAGGGGTAATTAACCTACAGTGGAGTTCACCCTTTTGAGCACACAGTTTGACTTTTAGCAAATTCATACAGTCCTGGAACAACTACCATGGTCAAGTAATAGAACACTTGCATCTCCCCAAAAGTTTTCTCCTGCCTCTTCCCAGCCAGTCTCCCTTTGCCCCAACCCTGGCCTCTCCCAGCCGGTCGCCTGATACCTAGAGGTTCGCCTTCCCCATAACGTCACATAAATGGGATCCTACGGTGTGTGCCCTCTTTAAACCTAGCACAATGCTTTTGAGATTCATCAACGTTGTAGGTCATAAGTTGTTTATGCCTGTGTATTGCTGTATAGCGTTCCATTTTACAGATGTACCAATTTATTTATTCACGAACGGACGGATATTTGGGTTCTTTCTGTGTTTTGATTGTTACAAATAAAACTGCTGTAAACAGTCACATGTGGAACATTTTTACAGACGCATGTTTCCACTTATCTTGGGTAAATACCTAGGAGTGGGGTTTCCGAGTGTAGCATTGGGATTTGTTGTAACTGTTTAGAACCTGCCAAGCCCTTCCGAGTGGTTGTGCTGTTTCGTATTCTTACCGGCAGCACAGTTGTTGCAGCGCCTCGCCAGCCCCGGCGCTGGCAGGCTTTTTCACCGCAGCCGCTGGAGGAGGCGTGCGATGCCGTATAGCTCCTTGCAGTTTTGGTGTGCGTGTCCCTAATGAGTGTCTTTTCCTCTGTGTGTACCCCCTCTGTGTGTCCTCTTACTTGAAGTGTCAGTTCAGCTCCCGCTCATGCTTTCTTGTCACTGATAACTATGGAGTTGAAAGAGCTCTTTGGCTACAAGGCCTTTATTGGATATATGTCTGCGAATATTTTTTTCCTAGCCAATAGCCACTCTTATTTTCTTAGCAGTAGCTTTTGAAAAGCAGATACAAATTTTGATATAATCTAATTTGTTCATTTTAATCTTTAATGGTTCATTCTTTTGTGTCCTAGCCAAGAAATCTTGGGCAAACTCAAAGGCACTAAGGTTTTCTCCCACATTTTCTTCAAGTTTTATAGCTTTAACTCTTAGGTGTTAGGTCTACGCTGAGTTATTTTTTATATAATTGTGTGAGGTGAAGATTTTTTTAAATGGAAATCATCCTTGCGCATTTTTCTTTGCATCACAATGGAACCTTTGTTGAAATCAGTTGGCCTTATTGTATGTGTAGGTCTGTTTCTGGGCTTTATTCTCCTCCATTGATATATGGGTCTGTTCATAGATCAACATCATACCATCTTGATTGCTGTAAGAAAGCTTTAAAAATTTTTTTTACTGTGAATCTGTATCATAGTAAATGTTTAAAGTTCTTTTTGTGAAGGAAGAGGCCAGTAGAAGCAAAGGATTGACCAACCAGTTTTGTTTGGAGCCTACAGCTATTCCCGCACCTGCCTCACCATTTAGGGCGACAAGTCAGTAAATCCTGCGCTATCACAAATACGGCAAGGAAACCAGCCTCCTCGGGGTACTGATATATTCGGCCTAATCTTCTGGTAAACTGGTTTGCTGTAGTTGCTAATTTAAAATTGTCACCCTGAGTTCCTGTAGGATTAGTCATTGAGAAGGAACTGTCTTTTGAACATTGTATGATATTGGTGAGAAAAATGGAGTTGAATTAAAATAAAGTTCAAAATTGATTGCCAAAAAATTATCTAATAAGCCTGATTTCATTTCTTCTCAGAAATGAAGGTTTTATTTTAGTTTGGTTCAGTATAAAAATGGTCACATAAAATATGTCGGAAAGTAACCTTAGCATTTGAGAATTACTCCTTAATGTGGGAAAACTCCCTTGCACCAGGTCTTCCTAGGTAGGCAGATGGTGGACTCATTCATGTCTCTGCCAGGCATTAATGTGGCCACTGCCTCTTTAAAGGGGCAGAATTTCCCTGCAGGGTATGATCAGAAGGAAGGCCCGGGGCCTCTCAGCCTCAGAGGTGGCACCAACTGCAGACACTGTGAGGTGGTTTTGTGCTTTCCTGGAAGAAGCGATGCTTGCACAAAGCTGACTGATAGGCATTTTAGGGCACTCCGGATCCAAAAGGCACATTATGTTCCAAACTGCCTTTCACCTTCACTTACTGAGACTGGACCATGTAAGTTGGCTCCATTTCATACACCTTTTTGTTTTTAAACATTTTGCTCAACTTCCCATTCTAGCCTAACCTATGAATACATCTGGATGAAGCTTGGAATCAAAACTGGACCGGAGATTGTAGATTCCTTTAAAATGTAACAGGTATGCTTGATTTTAAAGAAGTCTCCCCTCTTGAACGGGGAAGCGGCTCTGGCTTTTGTGCTTCCAGGTCGTGCATTGTCCCCGGAGGGCTGACCCTGGGCTCAGAGCCCCTGACCAGACCGAGTGAGCAGTACTGATGTGCCAT